ACTTCTTTTCATCCCCTTTGAGGATATACCTACGAGTAATGCCTCCTATCACCTTTCATAATTGCAATTGCCCTCAGTGTGAGGCGCTACAAACATCTTTTCATTTTCGGCTTGTCAAGAGTCAGGTCGATCCTTGACTTTGGACCTGACCATCGTCCGCGCTTTAAAAGCAAAATATAGAATTTCTGTCGTCGTGCAGACTGGCAGACGAAAATGTGGTTTTATTGTTTGATGAAATAAGGAATCACATGGGCGATCTGCCAAAGGGTGCCTTTCGGGAGGAGTTTCTATTGGAAACTGTCGCATATCGAGGTTTACATACGTAAAAACACCCGAAAACTCATGTGCGAGCGCGCCAATGAGGCACGAAAGTACAGTTCAAAGATTACAATAAATAATTTTTACGAATGAAATGAGAAAAACCTGCAAAGTATTTATATCTTGTCTTAATAAAAACCAAAATTCAATTCTATTATTTTGCAATAGTAAACACTAATGCTTTGAATAATTAAATTTTACAGCTGTTATAATTGAGTCGCACATCTGCGTAAGTAAGGACAGCTGTTTAAAGTACGAATAAACTTTTTGTTCAACCCAATATAACTTTTACTTATTAACTATAGCATCTGAGAAGTGTGTGAATACAACGAAATGTAAGAAAAAGGCTTTAATATCTGCGATTGAGATTAAAAAAAAAACCTATTTATCGCTAAGCGTGAAAGAAGTGCACGTGTGACGGATATGGCTGCCATGTTTACGTTAAAATAATAATTATAAAAATTGTAAATTTTAAGAGTAAACGAGTTAAAGTCACTCTTTTTTATCTGACTTGGAGAAAATTAAACACAGATATAGATCACAATTTGAAATTAATAATTATTTCTTACTTTGATCTCCATATGCCTCATCAGTGGATATCGCGCTTCTTATTCTAATAGATTAATATGGAGATGTTAGCCGTGTAGGCTCTTTCTCTCCGACACGACGTGGATATCGCGCTTCACATTGCCAATTTTATGCTCTATCACTATATCCCAGTATGCATCTACACGTACGCCAGTATTTAAATTAATAGTATTTACATAACTTTTGATGCAGTAATGTTCAATAATACGTCTTGTTACGAGGTTTTCTATTTTATACAATATTTTAACATTATTTCGATCAATAATACAATTTGTAATACTACAATGCTGATGCTACGGAGATTCGGTTTCTTTTTAATCGAATTGCCGCCTCGTGCTCCTTCAATCTCGTTTCACCAATATAGTACTTCTTGGCTGTACATATACAGTACACATCAATCTGTAAACCACTAGCTTAGAAAAGTAATTAATAGCATTGTAATTGTAGAGATCCCCAAGCCTATTAACCTCAACCCGATTTGGATGCCATTCAAAGACCGTTGACCTCCTCCCACTTATTCAAAAGATCTGTAATACGGTAACAGATATCGGCATTAATTAATCCTCTTTTTCGGAAGAAAACTTATCTCGCCGAGTTTCCTGTTATTCTTCATTCAAGAGTTCTTGGCGTTATTCTGTCGTCAGACCCGTTTCGTGCTCCATTATAAGCTCTTCGATGTTCTTTATTTCTCAGAATTGATTTTTGTTACTCCTTTACCTGCTTGAGTCATCATAATTATACAGTATCTTTCTTAGATCAGATTGAACTGCGGCCTACTGTAAACCTGTTCGAGCCATACTGCCCAGCAACATCAGACGACATCTGCCCACTCTCTACCTTTGCTATTATACTCTCACCTTTCGAAAATAAAAACCGATGCAAAATTTAACGAGTGCCGGTCCGACAGTCTCGCGAATACTATAAAAAAAATTGTTTCTGTCAGAAAAATAAAATGCTGGAATTACGAGGGAGAGTTTCAAAGTTCGGAGGAATACTGTCCGATCGGTATATACTAGTTTCGAATTATTGTTTCCCGAAGAGAGGGAAGATTAATCGGTATTCATTATTTTACGTCGCTTCTTCTCGTGTTTGTTCTGTGAGGTGTTCGTTGTCTGAACATAAAAATCTTTCGCGAAAGTGTTCGTTAACTGATCACCCACAGTATATATAGAAATGCAATCGATAATTTTGCAGGAAAGTTCGTATATTGAGGGATGGATGCTATTGGTTAAAGGTCGAGGGAGTGAGGAGATAAAAGGGAATAGTGTCATGTCTGAAGTAGGGTCGGATTTAATAAAGATTTTACTCGTTCATTTACAACTTTTTATAAAATTCACCTATATCGTCAAAATTAAGTCTTTTCCATTTTATAATAAATAATTACATAAAAAGTTATTTTAATACATTTAATAGAACATGTAACACATTATAACACTGAGAATATTTATTAAATCACAAACGTTTTCAGCCTAATGGAATAGGCCATCATCGGGTGACAGGCTATCGAACAAATTTGAAAATTGTGTTAAAACGGAACTTTCGAACATTACAAATTCAAAGTTAAAACGTAAAATAAATTAACCAATATACAAAATAACTATAATAAATAAATTGAAGCCATATTAATATAAATAGTAAAATGAGGCGATATAAAAAATAAAGATAAAAGATAAAATTCATAAAAATATACATCAAAAAGCATCACATTATAAAGGGCAGATAGGAACTAAGACTTTGTGTGTTTTAACTTTTCTTTTATAAAGAACTTCCATGCCGAAGCTAAAATTGATACAGCCTTCCTTTAATTTACTCTTATAAATTTCATTTTTTCATGGGACGGCTGCATCAATGCAAGGGATGCTGATGGTTTAGCTTCGGCATGGAAGTTCTTTATAAAAGAAAAGTTAAAACACAAAGTCTTAGTTCCTATCTGCCCTTTATAATGTGATGCTTTTTGATGTATATTTTTATGAATTTTATCTTTATTTTTTATATCGCCTCATTTTACTATTTATATTAATATGGCTTCAATCTATTTATTATAGTTATTTTGTATATTGGTTAATTTATTTTACGTTTTAATTTTGAATTTGTAATGTTCGAAAGTTCCGTTTTAACACAATTTTCAAATTTGTTCGATAGCCTGTCACCCGATGATGGCCTATTCCATTAGGCTGAAAACGTTTGTGATTTAATAAATATTCTCAGTGTTATAAGGTGTTACATGTTTTATTAAATGTATTAAAAGAAGCTGAGTTTGATATTCAAATTATTTTAATAATGAAATCCGAAACATTTTCCCATAAAAACAATAAATATAAAATTTATTAAGCTTCAAAGTCAGTGATCAAAATCTTATACACATCCATACATACAGATGAAACGTCGAAAAATGAAAGAATTTTGGTTTAAGGTCCCAAGTCCAAAACAGAAAAATTTTGGAGGCTCATTTTTGACTGATTGCCATACTCTGTTATATACAGTATATCAGAGGAAGTAACATAACAGCTGTATTCTATTAATTTTGTTGAATTTCTGTACTTTAATGCCTTCATTTTTCACAAATGTCAAGTAGGCTATTTCTCAGTGTGTCCCAAAAGTATAGATTATACAACATTTTACTACTTTTCAGAATTGTTAGGAATTTAAGAGAAATGCCAATGATTTCATTTGTATATTCAAATTACATTCACTTTAAAATTATCAAAAATCATTTTATTAGTAATCTAACAACAAAAATATACTTTTGGCTGTCCCAAAAGTATAGATAACTAGCAGATCCCGCCACGTGTTGTTGTGGCTCAAAATGTATCTGTTATAAGTGTATAACGCTTCCCCCGTGGGGGGGAATTTTTCGAAAAAATTTTTTTTACTGTACATTCTGTTGACGTACCCTATTAAAACGCAATCAAAAACACAAAAAACCACATCTGAAATAGTATAATAGAAGCCAAGTTCTTCACGGTAAGCCTCAATCCTGTCCCTCTCCTCCGCGGGGGAATATCGAAAAATCCCTTCTTAGTGTTGACGTACCCTATTAAAACGCAAAAACCCACATCTAAAATAGTATAAATAGAAGCAGAGTACTTTACGGTAAGCCTTAATCCTAATCATCTCCCTTCAGTGGGGGGAATTTCGACACGTATATTATATAAAAACACGTGCGTATTCGAATGCAGCGTCGTGCCAACATTTCAAAGGAATCGGCAGGAACAAACGAACATTACACTTTTATTTATATAGATGGATAGATGATCCGCTTTAGTTCATCCTCACATAAAAGCAAACTTAGGGCGTCGTACTCGTAGCGCCATCTGTTGGACATAAAAGCCTTAACCCTAGATGATATCTTTTAACTTATATGAATGTTTAACGGAATAATATACAGCCCATGTCCACCTCGAAGTTCCATTCTAAATATTGGTGAAAGAACTTTTGAAATCGGATGAGTAGTTTCGGAGATTACCCGCTACATCCAAACTTACTTACTTACAAACATTACCACTTTATAATATTAGTATAGATAAAACAGAATTGTAAAATTTCAAGTATAAGAAAATAATAATAAATAACAACTGCAAATTCTGGTCCTTTCATTAGGACATGCTAATGAAATAATTATCTGATGCCCAGTCCATTTCAGTGATAAACAGTCAAGTTTCACACAGGAATATAGTGTGTGTAGATGTTTAGTAGTTAATTGTTGCTATTAATGTGATACCCTTTTGTTGTAACACTAGACTTTTTCTATGGTAACAATGGAAGGTCACTGTGGATCTCAAAACAAAATGAATTCTATGAAATATCTCTCTATGAAATGTATGAATGTTGTAAGAAAATAACTCTCAAAAATAAATAAATTTATTTTATCAAAAATATTTTACATTCAATTCTAGATCAGGTATTTTANGAAGGTCACTGTGGATCTCAAAACAAAATGAATTCTATGAAATATCTCTCTATGAAATGTATGAATGTTGTAAGAAAATAACTCTCAAAAATAAATAAATTTATTTTATCAAAAATATTTTACATTCAATTCTAGATCAGGTATTTTACACTTTTCTACAGACAGATAAATTTTAACAATACTTTTATTTTTCTATAGCCTTCAAAAAGTCTGAATTTGTGACAAAGTCTGTGGCCGACCTATATTTAAAAATGCTCTTCTGCCATTTTTGCAATTGAATCCGTACAGATTTATGGGATTTCACGTTGCGATACGTCTTCTCCTTAAGAAGTTTTTCCAAAAGATAATGTAACCACAGGACATTACTGTATGGACTAAATGTGTCCCATTTGTTTCTATACAAAGCAATTGTATGTCAGTTATTGTTCACAGTTTAAATGTAAATATACTAAAACCTTACCCATTGTTTTCTTTCATTAACCTGTATATATCAAACTGATAATCTCCTTCTCCCGTAAACAAAGAATCATCATCAGCTAAGTTGGTGAATATTGTGCATCCATCTAGAAGAAAATAACAAAAAATAATTCAATTATCAACTATTAACTATTTTTCCTTCAAAACTATTTAATGTCATTTTCTGAAATTTTTACTGAATGAAATACATTTTTAATTTCTTGCAAAATCAAGCAAGTGATAATCAATATTAAAGTTATTTTTAATAATTTCTTTCTCAAAAATTAAATATATTGAGATTAAACAGTCCAAACCTTAAGGTTGAATTACATTGTGACACACATGCAGACTAAAACAAGCTATACAGCTAAATCGGACAGTGAATATCTTATCAGTAAACTCAACAAACATAACATACACAAAAATATATTAGAGCTCACAATAAATTATACATTTCTCATAAAAAACAAATTCAAATTATCAAAGCTTGAAAGTAAGGAAAATTTCAAAGCTCTTCAGTTACAACAGCATCTTTTGAAACCATAGTCACTAAGACATCAAAATAAAGCTGTTACTCTAGTATGCTATTTGTTGGGATAAATGAAAAAAAGATTCACTTTTGAAGACTGAGTCTTTTCCTCCTTTACTCCAACAGATGACCCAAAAACTGTGGTAAAACTTTATGCTGAACCTAATGAGAATAAAAACTTAGACCACGAGATAATGAACAGATTTCGAACCTGCCTGTTCAGAAGTGAAAATGGAGAAGATGCACAAAGCTAAATTGATCATAAAAGCAACTAGAATAGAGGTAGAAAGTGTCTTTTCAGACATGGCTTACTTCTCAAAAATAAAACAGATCAAGTTCATGAGATAAATTTGCAGCTCCCAACCTTTTTTGAGTTGCGCACTCCTTGGCAGCCCATTTTCCTAAGTTTTATTTTGTGTGTTAGACAAACAGTGGCGACTTTGGTCAATTATAGAGAGCCGTACAATTACATTACAAAAATTTTTTTTTAAATCAAAAAGCATTGGAGGAAGGACACAGATAAATGTAATAAAAGTATAATTATATTTTTACTTAAAACAAGGCATCAAATACCACGACATTGCCAAAGTCCTCAATGCAGAATCCAAATGTTCTTATAGTATCCTACATCTGCCATTATTAATTTTTTTTTTCACATACAGTACCTCCCTGGTTTGGAAGTGCTGAAATAAAACATCTGATGTACTCCATGTTTTAAAACTCCAATTTAAAAGTAAAGACTTACACTTTCCTTTATTAAGAGAATGAAATTTTAGACTTCAAATTTATACAAAAGAATTATTTTTGTTTTCTGTTATTAAACAGGATAAAACTGTACATATAATTTGTAGAAAAAGACCCTAATAAAACTGGCCATAACTATACATTTTCTGGTTATTTTCAAGAACATTGTTCAGCAGTAAGGTTAAAATATTCACAGTCTCTGATTTATTTATATGTGAAAGTATGTGATTTTCAGCTCAATAGACAATCATCAAGAGTATCTGCTTATGAAATTAATTCATTTAAAAATTATTAATTCAATGAATGGCACTGCCAATTTTTAACAAAAATCACATGCAAAAAGAGCAGTCATCTTGTTATTGCTGATGATTATTGTATAATGTATATGTAAAAGTTAAAAACTTTACTGTCAGAGCTTTTAAATGAATGTCTATAAGTTAAATAAAGTTCCAGACTTCCTTTTTGTCTTCTATTGACACATTTTAAGTGTTTTAACTTTAATATTAACTGACAAACTAGTTTAATCTATCAATATTTTGTTATTGAATATAGTGTTTTATAAACTTAAAATAATACAAAATTTAAAAATTACTACTACTTTTCATAAGTCAGTTGATATTTACCAGGTGAAAGTCATTCAATAACAACAATTCACTCATAAATGCAATATTTAATTATGACATAAGAATGTTACATTCATATACAATGTTATCTTGCATACTGTTAAAAATGTAAAACATACAACAGAATATTATATTACTTTCTTTCTTCATGTACAGTACATTTAAATTGATTACATATTTCACAAAATTATATTAGAATTACCAATTTGTAATTTTGAAATAAATTGATGTAACTCTTTTAAGAAAGACTCAATTTCTTTATCTAAATAACATGTTTTGAATTTTCTTCTGAGAAATTATAACCATTATCATAATAAAACTATATTTACCTTTTCTCAGATAAGAAAGTGTAAAATCAATGATGGTAACTAATATACCAGAAGTCGTCATGGTAAATCTGTCATCCCTCAGGACGTAATCTATCGTTGTCTGTATCGTGGGAGCTATCAAGATGTTACCCCAGTGCAGATCTCTATGTTCAAATTCTATGGCCTCCTCAGCCACGGCCAAGGCACAGGCAACTTGTTGGAAAATACTCTTGGCTTCCACAATATTTTTTAACTAGAAAAAATATGATAATTAATACTATAATAAATTACTTCAGCAAAGATGAATATCTCATAACATGTACTTTGTGATTTTAAATCCATAAATAAATTTTAATCTAAATGAGAAAGGATTTGTATAATTTCGCTTACTGAGAACAGAAAAAAATAATAATTACAGTGGTACCTCAGGATACGAACGTCCCAGCATACGAAATTTTCAGGATACGACATGAAATTCGAACATATTTTTGCTCCACGATACGAACAAAAACTCACCATACGACGTTACATTAGTTCGCATTTTTCATTTGTTTTCCTTACTACAGTTATTTTTTTTAATGTATTACTTGGCTTTAATTTGAGTATGTTTTTCGCGTTGGAACGAGTTATTTGGTTTAACATGTAATCGTATGGGAAAAGTTGATTCACCTTACGACATTTTCATGATACTATCTCAGTTTCGGAACGGATACATTGCAAGGTAAATATAAATTTAACAAATTAAAATCAGAATAATTATAGACAATAAATCTTAACATATAAAATATTATTATTAAGATATGTACAGTTTCTAAATCATAAAATTCACATATTAAACTATTTAAATGGTATTCTATTGCATGCTTAGCCAACTTTATAACAGATGTGGATCTACTTTCATGAGTCAAATTTACCAATAACACTGTACAACAATGAAAATGTTTTGGGCTCAAAATTAGCATATTCTTATGTATTTCCATCTTCTGAATTCAAAAATCACCATAAAAATAACCAATTAGCTCTTGCTTTGGAGGAGATACAGTGACATGTCAATTGTATTTTGGGAAAAATTTATTTTTTGGGAGTTGTCACACCTCTCAACTGACATAGCACAACATTCTCCATATGTTTGTAGGTTATAAACATAAAAATGTAGTTATGACTCTGAGTTTAATATTGCTTCTGTTTTTCTTTTTACAGAATTCCTGGTTATGGAGTGCTTTTGAAGTGTAATACTGGTTATTCCAAAATGCCACGAAAATGTGTAAATTTAATGAACAATTTTTTTTATATTTATGGTGAAATAACATTTCTGTCACAGAAACGCAATCTGACACCTCCCGTAAAGATTGCCTATCACCATTATTTGACGGTAAGGGACCAGGATAAGTCATGGGCTCCACATATATGTTGCAACTCTTGTTCAGTTATACTATGAGAATGGATGAAAAATAAAAAGCGATCTATGGCTTTTGCTGTGCCTATGGTTTAGCAAAAGCCTACAAACCATACGGATGACTGCTATTTCTGCTTGACTCCACCTATAAAGGCAGGATTGTCAATGAATAAAAAAGGAACAGTTCAATACCCAAATCTTCCATCTGCTACTGGACCTATTCCACATTCAGATAGTTTACCAGTTCCTACTCCATCCCAACATTATGAGCTTTAAATTAAAAATAAAGAAAGTATGGGAGAAGAAGAACCCAACAAGCCTTCCACATTCCAGGATTTTGAGGTAAAAGATGATACACCACACAGACTGAGTCAAGTGGAATCGAGTGATCTCATTCGAGACCTAGACTTGTCAAAGAATAAGGCGGAACTTCTAGGGTCAAGACTACAGCAATGGAATATTCTCCAATGTGATGTCAGGGTCTCGCAGTACAGAGAATGTCAGAAAGATCTGTGGTTGTTTACTGTGATGTTAATGGCTTGATGAAATGTTTAAACCATGATCCAAGTGAATGGAGGCTATTCATAGACTCCTCCAGGCTCAGTTTGAAAGCTGGTTTACTTCACAATGACAACCATCTTCCGTCTATTCCTGTTGGTCATGCTGCTCACATGGCAGAGACATATGCAAACATGACAGCTCTCCTCGATTCAATCAAATATGCTGAACACAAGTGGAAAATCTGTAGTGATCTAAAAGTCATCGATGTACTCTTAGGAATGCAACTGGGGTACACTAAATACTGTTGCTTTTTGTGTATGTAGGACAATAGGGATAGGAAATCACATTACGTTCAAGTGGACTGGCCTGCAAGAAATATTGACTCTACCAAGAAAAATGTCATTGCCGAGCCTCTCGTGGACCCAAAAGATGTTCTTCCACTCCTTCATTTCAAGCTGGGTTTAATGAAAACTTTTGTCAAAGGTATGAACCAGGAAGGACAGGCATTTAAGTACTTAAAAAACAACTTTCCTAGATTGAGCGATGCAAAGGTTAAGGAAGGTATTTTTGTTGGGCCACAAATTTGACAACTTGTAAAGGATCCTGCATTTGACTGAGTTTTGGAGGGAAAAGAAAAAGAAGCTTGGGAAGCCTTAAAGTGAGATTCGTAGATTCTTAGGCAACAAAAGAGACAATAACTACACTCAGTGACAGTACTTCTTGAAAAATACCATCAATTCAGATGCACTACGTCCTTTAAAATTCATTTTCTCCACTCCCACTTAGACTTTTTCCCTCCTAGTTGTGGAGCTGTCAGTGATGAACATGGAGAAAGATTCCACCAGGATACTTCTATAATGGAACAAAGATATCAGGGCCAGTGGAATGAAGCAATGCTTGCAAATTACTGATAGTCTGTGTGTAGGGATGCACCAAACTCACTTATAAGAGGCAAACCAAAAGAAAACGATCTCATGAAGTCACCATATAATTCTCTTGACACTGAACCACCTGCCAGGTATTCTTCCATCAATTTAGAACTCTTAGAATGTGTGAGGTTCCAAAAACAGGTTGATATTAAAGATTTATTATAGTAATTTGGTAAAACGAAACTAGAAAAAAAAATCACCTATTGTTAAAAGCCGATCAAAGATCAGATTAGTTGTGCTAGTCATATGAAACTGCAACGAGAGAAAAAAAAACGCTATTGATGTAAACAGAATGCAATAATTATAAATGATTAATAATTGTAAACGAATGACCTCCAGTAGAGATGGACCTTTGACAAGTCACTTGTATACAAATAATTGAACAGAAATTTTGAAAAGGGGAAAGGTTAATGATAAAAAGGGACATTGCGTTGTGTCGTTAAATTTCAAAAACATCACAGACTATACAACAATGGTGTAAATATGAGCACAAGTTCCAAAGTTCCATCAACATTTTGCATTCAGAGTAATGGATGGTGCCAAGTAGATTCTTCGAAGCGGATCTTTCTGGTGACTCGAACAGGAATTGTCTTTTGCTTAGGGACAGACGAGGGACCAATCAGGGAGCGAGAAAAACAGGACGTAGAGCCAATCAGAAGAAAACAAACCATAGAACGGAGATTGATATAATCCCCGATCTTCAAGGACAAACTCACTTCCTGAAATGTGCAACTGCACACGGTTAGTCAACGCGCAAAAGCAGTTTTCCACCTGTTGTGCCCAACTTGTAACCTGTGACTATGGACTCAGACCACCGACACCGACTGACGAATCTCCACACCTGCCATTGCCCCGGGGCCTTCCTTCGAGCAACATTAGAAACACCTTTGACAATTCGAACCTCCAATTGTATAAAGAACATTTTTGTTCCTTAGTGTAAATTTACTTTTATGTTTAAAATAAATGGGTTTTTGTGAGATTCTTGTCATCCGTGTCTCCTCCGCCACACCCACACTCGAATAACCCTAGATCATCCTGACGTGGGATTAACGATAACCCCTGGAAGTCGGCGAACTTACACTGGTGCCGAGAAGTGGGATTTTAGGTCCCCTATCTCCACCAGGTCAGCAAACTTACAAATTAACTGTAATTAAAAAAAAAATTCAAAAGCACTTTCAATGTTGTTAGCATATGTAATTAAAATGTATTTATTTTTTCTTAAGCTATTAAAATGACATACTGCCACCCATTCATATCACAGAAACTAGAACTAATAAAAATTTGGTACTTGTGAATCTTTATCCCAGATGGTGGCGCCGCCCTGGCGACCAACATCTCAACTAGTACCTGTATCCCCTCGAAACAAATTAACTCGGCTGGCTAACCTACCAACACACGTGTTATCAACTTAGTTTTGTTATTTCAACGTTGTTAATTAAAACTTTGCAATAATTTTAAGAAAAAGTTAACAAACAATTAAATTAGTTTAAATTATCGTTTATTTTAAAGTATATTACATGTCTACATAGCCGTTTACATAATTCCATATTACTGGCATATAGTTTGCGGCTGCCATATTTCCGCGATTGCTTTTAATATGTTTTCAAAAGCATTTCCTTGTCCCAATGACTTTTTCCACATAAACTCTGCAAGGTAAGACTCCAGATGATGGCGAGCCGTGCCTCGTTGTTTTTTGTTGCGCCACTTAGCGGAGCCCCACAATCTTTCAATGTTTTGAGTGTGAGCACCCGTTGTTGGATCAACGAAATTATATTTATGGTTTACAGTAAAATGACTGTAACCTGCTCTTTCTAATTCATCCGTCTTGTAAGCTCGCCAACAGTCAGAATAAATTGTTGATTCTTGTTCAATGTGCTCCACGATTTTTGTCATTAGTGTGGTTGCTTCTCTATTAGGAACTGGAACGAGAAAACAATCACCAGTTTTTCGGCATATTCCGCCGAATATCCACTGTTGTGGAAGAACCCATCCAGCGTTGCTTTTTCGCCTTGTGAAAAGCGTTTCGTCGATTTCCACGATTTTTCCGGGACCGCCTATTCGCCTGTTCGGTTGTTTCAACAAATGTAAAAAACATACCTCCCTCAAAAAACTATTCCAGTCTATAGTTGTTTTGTCGCAAATATTTAGATGTTTTCGACACCACTTTATAGATGTAACTTCCTCCGTCCAATGGTAAATAAATCTTACCGCCGTTAAAAATGGTATCCGTGATCCGCTAAACCAATTATTAGAACGGATGCTTATCATTACATCACAGCTACTTATGGTGCATCTCCAAACGCCTTTAGATATATTTAATTTCATTTCATGCCCATTTTTACATATTCGAGCACTAGGTAAAATACCTTTTTCTTGAAAAAATAATACAGATTCTTCTTCGGTGCGTGGCAAATCGTATAATGAAGACATTTTTTTCTTTCTCACAAAGGTTTGGAAAACACGTGTCTGTTGAAAGGTCAACTGGTCGAGTTAATTTGTTTCGAGGGGATACAAGTACTAGTTGAGATGTTGGTCGCCAGGGCGGCGCCACCATCTGGGATAAAGATTCACAAGTACCAAAAATTTTTCTTTGTCATATTTGATTTTCTTACCCCAAAATTAGTAAGATTTCACTCATGAAATAAAGGAAACCATCTCATTTTTATTCCCTTATAAAAATTTAACTCACTCATAAAATTATACTGCAAAATATAGTTATATTTATTTCATCTTTTTCTCAGTACAGACACTAAAACTGTTTATCTTTAACCATAAAGTATTTTATTCCATTCACTGTGGAAATCAAGTTTTGCTCCTTTTTGTTTCACAAAACTTTAACAATCCCATAAAAATTACAAATGTATTCTTCATGCTTGATAAAAATAATTCTATGATTGAGCAGTCAATCACAATAGATTGTTCCAATAAAATGCTTGGCCAACAATGTTAAATGTTAAATATAAGGTTTTAATGTTTATAGAGAGAGATTTTTAAACAGAGAAAAAGATCTTTAACTAGATATAAGTTACATTACCAAATCATCAGAAATAAAAGAATAGATTTCTAAGTCATTCTAAGGATAACTAAGTGAAATTCCACAGTTCAAATCATACTGATCAACGGTTACTTTCTATAACGATCTGATGATAATTTAATTCGTTAGTTTTGCTAACATAGATAGTCCTCTATTTTCAGACAACTTCTGTAAGTACATAATACATTTATACAGTACTCTTAAATCATTTTTCATAACTTATGAACAGCTCCAAATTCAGTTATGTAATATAGACATGGGTAGACGGATATGCAGGTATTCATTAGAAAGTGTTACGAGGGAGTAAGGTGGTGTATTTACTAAACTAATACACAATGCTAGGGTCTTAATCCTTCAGTAATAGAATGATTTATTTTTGTTTATAAAATATTGCCCACCATCATTCATATTTTGTATTTTAATTTTAGTTTTATTGGATCCATTAATATTTTTCTGTTGTATTGGGAAAAGTCATCTTCAGTTCCTTGCAGGGCTGTGGAGTCGGAGTCGGAGTCGGAGTCGTGGAGTTTTGGTGTTTTAGCCGGAGTCGTCAAAAAATCCGCCGACTCCGACTCCTTTTTACTTACCAACTTGTTATGTATATAAAACGGAAAAATATTGGAACCGTGTCAAATTTGACCCGCCAAGTTCTTTTTTTGCAAATCTACAAATTTGGAGACCTCCCGAACCACTCAAAAAAGTCAGTAAAGGGAAAAAATTCGTGCGTGTCTGTTGGCATCTAATTTGTTTAATTTCTTTTTTTCTGTTCTGAGATATTAAACAATATCTCAGAATGGGTAAAGTTTAAGAAACAAAATGTGGTGCTGTGGCTTGCGTATAAAGGGGCATTAATACTATTAAATTTTGGTTCTTAATTAAAGGTCGACAGGGTGAAGACATAAAAGTGGTCATGTGTCATATCTCTTAATGAATATTTTACTCGTTATTAGCATTCAAAATTAAAAAAAAATAAAATAAAACTCGTCTCTACCCTCAAAGTAAGCATTTTAGCCATTTTATGATAGTACAGTAAAACCCATTAAGATGTTCTCACCTAAGATGTTAGAATGTATATGGGGACACGATTTAGTTCAACCACTTTAACACTTAATAACTAACTCCTGTGTTAAACCATCTGACTCCGATTCCGACCACTCTGACCACAGAAATTATTAGGCTTCAAATGGGGTGAACAAAATCATGCCCCTCCCACACAGTCTAACATCCACACATAAGAAAAAACCTCAAATCTTTTGCATATCTCGAAATTTCAAGGTATTCCCGAGTCCAAAAATGCAAAAATTTGGGAGGGGTCATTTTTTGACCGAGTGCTACACTTTCCCTCTGTTATATATAACAGCTGGAAAAGTAAAAATTATCGAATACATATTTATATATTTCTTAGAGGAGTCTTTTAGCTTTGGAATAAAAAGTTTCTATGCTCTATCTTTATTACAACTCTATTTATTGAATCTTTTATTCTGAGGTCACGCAATGACATCAGAATTTCTGGGTTTCTTTCGGTAACAAGTCCGCCCCTGGTTGGAGTTGGAGTCGGATGGCAAGGAAAAGTCCAAGTCGGAGTCGGTAGATTTTTACGTGACTCCACAGCCCTGGTTCCTTGTGAACATTACATACTGTATATTTAATACAGAAGCAATTGATTCATCTATATCAGTGTTCCACAACGTTTTTCTACTTGCGGCACACTAAAATGTTATTTCCCTCAAAAATGTATGATATGATACTATTAATAGAATTACATAATGCCACTAACCTATTATTATTATTATTATTAAACAGACATCAACACCTGTGAGCAAATTTATTTTACATATAATTTCTTAGAATACATAAAAATGCGTGGCTTGTAATAAAAAATAAACAATCATCATCTTATTTCATCAATGCTGCAACAGAGAATGAAATACAAGCTTAAGAAACACAACAACTGTGATAAAAATACATAAATAAAACGTGAAATTAACAGAATATGTAAAAGTTCATGTAACACCTTTCACTGTGTGACAGCACACTGGTTGCAGAACACTTATCTATATAATTGGATGTAAAATGTTGTGCTACATATTTTGAAGAAAATGGAATATTGAAACTTATTTATTAAATGTGTACATTTAATTTAAGTTAATTTTGAATAATTTTGTAATGTATTACATAATTCTCAAGAGAATTATCAGTTTTCTTAAAACTAAATTTTAAGAAATTTGAAATATCTGAAAAATGAAATATTTGAAATTGTAAAATACTGTACATTGTATAGCCAGTATCAGAATTTCATTAAAACAAATATTGTTATTTTTCGATAAAGTAAAAACGTTTATGAAAATGCCCTAAAAATATAATATTTTGCTAAGGACAAATATACTGTATTTACCTGCATATAAGATGACCTCATATATAGGACGAGGTGTGACTTTAAAGATCAAATAAATAAACAAATAAATAAATAAAGAATATTGTTTACATCACTGCTTTTATATTATACATAGGTGTATAAGCTTAAATCCGCTGTTTTTTAGTCAGAAAAACACACATTTTTTTCTTAGAAAGTAAAAACAAATTTATTCAAAGTACCATATTTTTACGAGTATAAGTCGCTGTCGAGTATAAGACGCACTCCTATTTTGAGACAGAAAATTTAAAAAAAAACTTTTTTAATGGCGATTGCATTTTATTTGTTTTTTATTCAAGAATATGACGGATGCATTTTATTCGTTTTTTTTATTCAAGAATATGATGGATGGATGAATCGATACCTTTGTTAAACTGAAATAATCGTCATTTCTTAATGTAAACTCAGAGGTCACACAATGACAGTTGACAGAACATGGCGGCAATGACTCGTGTGTCTCTATTCTAATAATCTAGGTACTCTAGCCATTCGGTTGAGGGACCATGTGCTTAACGGATCACTGCACAGTAGTGGTCCCTAGAGTGGACCACTACTGTAGATAATTTCACTGTAAAAATGGTTACCTGTCGAGTATAAAACGCACCATGATTTTGAGCCCCAAAAAGTAGTAAAAAAGGTGCGACTTATACTCGTAAAAATACGGTACTTTCCCTCACTAGTGACACATTTGTTCCATCTCTCGGGCAATGTGTGGATACTATGCCAAAAAAATTTCTTCTCTTTCGAGGCAAACCACTCATCAAGCCATTTTCGGACGTCTTCGTAAGAATCGAAGTGCCGCTCAGCAAGTGCGTGGCCCATCGATGAAAAGAGGTGATAGTCGGAAGGGGCCAGGTCTGGTGAATAAGCAGGATGGGGTAGCACCTCCCAGTTGAGTGTCTCCAAGTAGTTTCGGACCAATGTTGACACATGAGATAGTGCATTGTCGTGGAGGAAAATCAGCTTGTCGTGTCTTTGCTGATAATCCAGCCTTTTTTCACGCAGAGCACAGTGCAATTTGATCAGTTGTTGGTGGTAGCGGTGAACTTTGACAGTTTCACCAGGTTTCAACAGATGATAGTTGACAATACCCTGCTGATCCCACCAAATGCACAGCATTGTCTTCCGTCCAAAGCGATTTGGCCTTGGGAAAGATGTTGATGGTTTGCCTGGATCAACCCACGATTTCTTGCGTTTAAGATTCTCAAAATATATCCATTTCTCATTGCCAGTTACAATCGATGCAGAAACGACTTTCTTTTTTGTCTGGCGAGCAAGATTTCGCATGTGTTTTGGCATCGCTACATCTGCCTATCGTTCAATTCATGCGGCACCCATTTTCCGATCTTCTGAATCTTTCCCATGGCACGTAGACGCATGGAAATGGCTGGTTAAGTAACACCCAATTGCTCGGCAAGCATTTTTTGCAATTGGGTATCGTCCTCATCCAAAAGAGCCTGCAGTTGATGGTCCTCAACCTTCCTGGGCCGATTTTCACGCTTCTTGTCACTCAGATAAAAATTTCCATCTTTGAACTGACGAAACCAATCTCTGCACGTGGTTTCCGATAAAGCTCTGTCGCCATAAGCCTCCACAAGCATTCGATGTACTTCGGCAGCCGATTTCTTCAAATTAAAGCAGAAAAGCAAAGCTTCCCGCATATGCTCTTTTTCTGGCACGAAAGTAGACATGATTACAAAGAAAAAAATATATGTTGTTTTATGAAATATCTGATGATGTGCACTGATTAATGTTGACAGACGTCAAAATCATTAAAAAACCAACATGGCGTCGTCATGGTAACTTAATACGCTCGCTTACGCCATCTATTAGCAAACAGCGGATTTAAGCTTATACCCCTGGTACATATGGTTGATAAAATAATGTAATGATTGGTATGGATGCTGTGTATTATTCCTTAGCACAATTTAATTAATTAATTAATTAATAGGGTTGTTTGAGAATATGCATTCTGTAATTGGGTTGCAATTTGAAAAAATTATAGACCTATAAAGTTGGCCAGTCCTTCCTTAATCTCAATAACAATGCTAGATAGATAAAAGTCAAGACCAGATATGGAAAGCTTATGCACAGGAGGCCCAATTAACTATATATGAACTTGCAGTCTAGACTGTAAGTACATGATTTCAATTCAAAAATTTCCCCTAAATAGAATTACATAAATGACCAGCATGACTCTTTTGTTATCAAGAAAAGTATAATGTACAGGGATAAGACACTACTAATTTCAGATCAAAAATACAGTAATATCTCAGTTTTCATTGAATTCAGTTATGGTCAGTTTTAGTTTTTGTAGATTTTTTCCATGAAAAATTTGTCTCAGTTTTTGTCTTTTGCCTCAGATTTCATCGGCGTACTCACATGACCTCGCTGCTAATTTTGTGACTAAAGAGTGACCCATGTGTTCTATTGCTCAGTGTGGCGTTGTTTCTCATTGTGTGGACAGTGGGAACAGTGGACTGTTCCGTGAAGCAGAGTGCAGTGTAAAAGTTGAGCTCCTGGATTTTTTGAGTTCTTGATGTCTTAAAGTGATTTTAATGCGATATTTTGTGTATTACCTGATTGATCTTTTTGTGGTGACTCTGTGGATATAAAAATTTTATTGTGGACCCATTTTTTTCTGAAATATGGTTTAACTAAAGTACAAAATTTACGGATCGACTTACCGGATGATTAAAGATCGATTTCCCGGAAATGATGACGTCAATGGAACCACTGACCTGTGGTGAGTAGGCCACCCAAGTTTGGTTGGAATTGGCCCATTAGTTTTTTGGATAATAAGGGTTACACTTGTGGAACTTAGAGGCCCACATCGGGTCAGTTTTCTTCCATCCCCCAATTAATTTGTGTTTATCGAACAGTAGACTTTTCTGGACACATCCTGTGAAAATTCTGTTTAGAAATCTGCTTTAGTTTTTAAGTGATTGTAGTTTTTATTTAAGAAGCTTGTTCTTACTGGACGTTTGAGTCATTGACCCCAACGGTCTCCAACGGCTTTTGACAACAGACTGCTCGGCGCCGGATTTTAACGGAATAGAAAGTGTTAACGTTTTATTAAGGTTGTATTTATTGGAACTTTAGATTTACTTTGCTGTTTAATTAAAATGTCTGAAAGTTTAGTTGAAGAATTTACGAGTCAATCAAATGATTTGTTGGACGACTTAAAGAGATATTGTACCAATAATTATAGTTGTAAGTTGGGCGCTAAGGATTCGGTTCGACATATTGCGAAACAGTTTACAGAGGTCATTAATTTGGCTGTTGAGAAAATAAAAAAAAGTTGCATGACTAATATTCTGGAGCAGACTCTCACTAAACTGGCTAGAAAAGATGATATCTTGGAGATTTCTAAAATACAAGAGGATAAATATGATGATAAACTTGAAAGCTTTAAAGATCAAATAGAGAAAATATTCACTGAAAACCTGGGTAAATTGAATTGTTCTCCTGTTCCTAGTTACAGTGATGTGGTGAAGAGAGCTACTAAAGATAACAAACCTACCCTGAAACCTAGAAAAAATAAACATACTTTACTTATCTATAACAACAATAACAAAGATAGTTCAGAGAAAACAAAAGAAATTCTGTTAAAAAGAACCTCTCCCATAGAGATGGGTGTGGGTATCAATAACATCAGAAGTATTAGAAATGGAGGTTTAGCAGTTAATGTTGAGAATGAGGAAGATCTACAAGTCCTACAATGTAACGTGAAATTGGTTCCTGAGTTAAGTAGTAAAATTGGGAAAAGTCGGCGCCCCCTTGTTAAAATAGTGAATGTTCCAATTACAATAAAGAGAGAAAATTTGGGCAAGTGCATTTATGAACAAAACGTCGAGCTTACTAATACTTATGAATTTAAGCAATTTGAAGAAGAGGTAGCCATCCGCTTTCAGATTAAACAAAGAGACCCTGAATTACAGTCCTGGGTGCTGGAGCTATCCCCTAAAATAAGAGGAATTTTTATGGAAAAAAGAAAAGTATTTATTGAGTGGAGCAGATGCTCAATTTTTGATTACATTCCTATTTATCAGTGCTTTAAGTGCCTTAAATTTGGTCACTTCGCCAATAACTGTTCTTCCCAGAATTCTATTTGTAGCCATTGCGGTGGCTATCACCTTTTCAAAGATTGCAAAAATAAAGAGGAGGCACCAAAGTGCACTAATTGTATTGGAAAACATGTGAACACAACTGATCATAATGCCATGGACAAAAGCTGTCCAACTTATTGTAATTACAGAGCTTCTATTATTTCCAGATTATATTCTGCATGCTAATTGTAGTGTGCTGCTGATCTAGTGTACAAACCTTCCTTGTCTAGTTTCTGCATGCGAAAAGTTTGTCACGATTTCTTGATTTCCTTTTGGGGTGAATGTTCTACACACGAATAGTGTTGTTTATATTTTTCACTCATTTGTTAATAATTTTATTGACTGTATTTTTTTACCTGTATTTTATTTATATTCAACAATCTTTTGCAGCTCACAAAGTGGATCTGCATCATTAAGTATACCATTAACATCGTTATTGCTTTTAGGCACAGGTGTTGCCTGCTTCCCACAGTTTCCTACACACAATTTGTGTGTATGTTGATTCTCTGTGGGTTTGTAATTTATGTATATTCAATTGTATTGTTCACTCTCTTTTCTCCTTCATATATTTAATTGTATTGAAATTTTATCTGTAATTGTAATATTTATCTGTATATCTACCCTGATAATGCTACATGCGGGGTCAGGGATGTACTATTGTACTTAAATAAAGATTGAATGAATAAATGAATGAATGAATGTGTGGACAGTGGCCTATGCGGATGACGCCATGGTGTTGGTGACGGCTTTCTCCCGGGCTGAACTGGAAAAGAAGGCCAATGATGTGCTTGAGAAAATCCTGCAATGGGGTAAAAGGAATAAGTTAGAATTCAACCTGAATAAGACCAAAGGGATTATTTTTACTAGGCCCAAAGCACCACACTTGTACAGAAGAGTCCCAACAATAAAAATGGGATGTACCAGCGTTAGAGTGGTACAAACTCTGAAATACTTAGGTATTACTCTACACCAGGGCTTCTTAAACTATGGGTCGCTTAGCGAAATTTTGGGGTTGCAAGATTTTAATGCAAAATATTAAAAATAATTTGTGAGAGTTTGAAAATGGCACGCTTTGTGTCACTTCTGATGCAGCGAGACAACAATTCAGCAACACTAGTGTGAACTAGTGTAGTGTTGTCACTATTCAGTGTATTCAGTTGTCTCTGTTGCATTGTAACGCAAGAGTGAACTGTGGTAGTACACCATTATTGTTTTTGCAAATTTGTATATATTTTTATTTTAGATTTTTTTTTTTGGTCGCGAAAAATATCACAGTCATAAATGGGGTCGTGAATAAAAAAAGATTAAGAAGCCCTGCTCTACACCATAAGCTAAGTTGGCTCTCCCATGTGAAGAATATCTGCAATAAAACTAACCTGCTCTTTAACACAATGTCAAAGGTGGCAAAGACGAAATGGGGTCTGAGTCCCCAAATCATGAGCGTGATTTACGATTCTGTATTTTCGCCTATGATTTCCTATGCGGCCCCAGTTTGGGCCGAGGGCCTGGGTCAGGTCCACATAGACAGAAAACTTCAAAGCGCCCAGCGAAAAGCACTACTTAGAATATGCAGAGCATACTCTACCACTTCAACAGCAGCCATGCAGGTTATCGCAGGAAAATTGCCAATTGTGCAGGACATTGAAATAGCTTCACAAAGATGGAAAATGAGACAAGGCATTAATATAAATATTAATAACGAGGTTTTTGAAAACATTGAACAAAATCTTCACTGTAAACATGGCCTAGCACCACAGGACTGGCCTTTTATTGCAACCAACCCTTGGCCAGACCAACTACAATCTACAGGTTCTACAATGAAGATTCTACAGGTTCTACAATTCCAGACCAAACTCTTACTATTTTCACGGATGGCTCGAAGCAGGAAGAAGAGGTAGGCTGTGCCTTCGTTGCCTATCATGATAATAATGAAGTCCATAACTCCTCGGACAAGCTAGACAACTTCTGCTCTGTTTATCAGGCGGAACTTTGGGCTATTCTCTCTGCTATAAGGTGGTGTAACGACAACTACAAAGGAGTTAATATTAATCTCTTCACGGACTCTAGTTCGTCAGTACAATCGATCTGTAACTACAATTGGCGCCACCCCATCGTTAACCAAATCTTGCAAGATATATCTAAAAACTATAACAGTTTTGCAATCATCTGGGTAAGAGGTCATACCGGTGTCTACGGGAATGAACGAGCAGACGATCTGGCTCGCTGTGCTTCAACTGCTAACTGCAATCCAAGTTACACAGCAATGCCTCACAGCTATATAATCCGGCGACTCAAAGAAAATGCACTGACCATTTGGCAGCACAAATGGGATGTTAACAATAGTAGCATAACGAGGGACTTTTTTCCCATAGTTTCAACTTTCATCAGTCATGACATTGGACATAATATTACCCAATTCTATATGGGGCACGGTAGGTTCCAGAGCTATCTCTACAGGTTCAACAAGTCATCAGAAGAAAACTGTGAAATTTGTGGCGTTCCAGACGGTGTCAAACACTACTTACTACAGTGTCCCATGTTAGATGACAAGCGCCAGAACATCATTGTTTCCCTGCCTACAGACATTTCCTGGCCTTGCAACTTGAATGTTCTAATAAATGATAAAAAACTGTCTCAAGTATTTAAAGAACTTGTCAATATGTATTTCAAAAGGACTATGGTAAGGTAAAGTGTACTACAAACAGCTGTCCTCCAGACAAAACTGTTCATATTTACCAGTTGTAAACATGAAGCATATCTTCGTGTAGGTGCCAAGTTTTTGATTGGCTACTGTACCCGGTATATTTGTAACTTAGATAATTCTACACTTGCAATTTTGTTAACTGTTTATTATATGTATAGTTTTAATGATTGATCAAAAGAATTGTCGTTCAATAATCTATGTAAATACCAAATTTATTTGTAACTTGAAATTATTCTATGCATAAAACTATGTATAAATTACAACCAATATAAATAATGTTATTAATTTATGTACTTCACCTCGGTGATGCCTAGCGGTGCCGAGGCTTCTATAAATAAAGAATATTACAAAGTGAAAAAGTGAGTGTGTGAGCATTATCCTGCACATCTAGCCAAACAATTCCATTGCTTTCCTTTCCTTTTAGCTCCATCATGGGACCAAAGAAAGTTTCCAGAGCCAGCAGCCCTTCAAAGAAGGCCAGAAACATGATTGAATTGAAGACGGAAATCATTGAAAAATATGAGTGTGTCATACGTACATACTAGTGATTGCATTACCAGTAACTGGTATACTGGTAAATTAGAAAAATTATACCCCGGTAAATTTACCGGTAATTAATTTTTATACCAGACAAAAAACTAACACACTTAAACTGGAACAATATACTACAAACAACAATTAACACCTCAATACTACTTCTAGCAGTCAAAAGATTTTAATAATCTAACATTTTCGGCCGTCTTTTAGAGGCCCTCCTCAAGATAAAACATTAAAAAAAAATGTTTTTTTAATGTTTCATCCTGAGGAGGGCCTCTAAAAGACGGCCGAAAACGTTAAATTATTAAAATCTTTTGACTGCTGGAAGTAGTATTGAGGTGTTAATTGTTGTTTGTAATTTTTATACTGGTATTTTGGTTAAAAATCCTCTTAACCCGATATTTATTTTCCTAAAATTCCCATGAGTATTTCCCGTGGGAAGCAAATGGGATGAAGCAAAAATCATAAGAACGATGCACTCACCGTCCATTGTGATGGAAATGGAAAAAATAGAGATATACAGAAGTAAAATGAGGAACCGCTGTCTAAATGCAAAAGATGCAAATGCATTACCAACAGCATGGAAATACAAAATCGAAAAATGTATGGGTTTTAATAATCCATAAAATAGGAACTGGAGGTTATAGGAAGTTATATTTTAAACGCATGTAAATTTTTATTTAATTTTTGCTAATATCTAGCACGTTTAGTGACATATTTTATTTATTTTGTTTATTTATGTAATATACAAAAAGTTGTTAACACATTTCAAAAATTCAAATCAAAATAAAATTCGAACAAATGATTCCATTTTGGAACGATGAATGAAAACCTGAAGATGGCCTATCCAAATAGGCTGAAAACATTTGAAATAAAGAGAAAAAACTCTGCAAATAGAATTCAGGTGTGTTCTTATTATAGTTAATATTGCTGAAAAGGAGATACCTAGATCAACAGATTATTAAAAAAAAATACATCCATCATATCAAATAATGAGGTTGGAGATTAAATCAATGTATCCTTCCATTAAACTTATTATTATTAGTGATGTAACGAATATTCGGTTACTATTCAGTATTCAGCCTATTTTTCGCTATTCGGCCAAATACCAAATATTTAATCACTATTCGGCCGAATACCGAATACCTAAAAACAGGAGTAAGAAATAACGAAAACACAGTAAATTAATCATTTTGGTATTTAGATTTAATGTTATCAGGTTGGTGTTGTTTGTTTATATTTATTTATAACTTATAACATGCACAAAATAAATAAAAAAAATAATATTAGTCACTTGTATTCACAATTTATAATTACAAAGATCAGCTCACGTACACACCTATTCGTTCGAGAATCGTCACACATCTGAGGGTCTGATCCTGCCCATCCTTCTTTTTAAGCGTTCGTCTTTGCTCTTTCCTTTCTCTTTCCTCTATCTCTCTAGTCCACATATGCCTATGCATACATCATAATACGTGCTCACAATACTTTCGATTCATCACTTTTCCGTCATAGATTTCCCATTTTACAAATACGTGACTCATAGCCTGGTGATAACGGAGAAAACAGACAGATAGGACGTCGATATATGTCACAGTTATGATTTCACAGATTCGAGACAGTTTGGTAGCCCGAACAACTCCAGGCTTTCGCCCGTGACTATCATTACAAGCATTTAGCTTTCCGAAGTCTATGACAACAATTGTTTGGCATTGATGGCCGCAAACTTTGCGGCAATAAGCTGCCTCAACTTGTTCGAATTATGTTATCAACTCAATTTCATATTTATTTTCACTTCACGGTCCTTCTCTGTTCTTTTTCCATTATTTACACGTGTAGGTCATTTCATTGTTATCCACATTTGATATCATCGTTTATCACATACTGCCATGACGCTCATGTCTGCCCGCTACAACTGTCAAAAATTAACACGATTGGAGAAGCA